CGAAAGCTTACAATATGCTCAAGTATGTACGCGCCCTGACTTGGCATTTGTTACCGGGCTACTTGGCAGATTCCAGAGCAATCCTGGAATAGAACACTAGAAATTGATAAAGAAAGTCTTGCGTTATTTGCAAGGAACGAAAGGCCTCATGATGGCGTATAGAAGATCTGATTCACTCCATATAGTTGGGTATTCATATTCTGATTATGCGGGAGATGATAGAAAATCCACGTCTAGATATGTATTCACTCTCGCAGGGGGAGCTATTTCATGGAAAAGCTCAAAACAAACCGTCACTACATCGTCCACAATGTATGCCGAATTTATAGCGTGTTATGAGGCAATGGGACAGGTGATCTGGATAAAGAAGTTCATACCCGGTTTGAAGGTGATTGACGACATCTATAGACCACTAAAGTTATACTGCGATAATAATCCGGTAATACAGTATGCTCACAACAATAAGTCAAGTGGTGCTGCCAAACACATTGACATAAAATATTATGTTGTGAAAAATAAAGTCCGAGATCAAGTTATAAGTCTTGAGCATATAAGAACAGAAAGGATGCTCGCGGATCCGCTTACAAAAGGCTTACCACCCAACGTGTTCAGAGAACATGTAGCCGACATAGGTTTAAAGGAAAGCCTATAATTCCTGGACAAAAGAAGGCCCAAAGATAAGTATCTATTTCAGAACAGAGTAGTGTGTTGTAGCTGTTAAATCTATCAGCAATGGATCATGACGATGAGACATGCTCTATGCACTAATCTGTAATGGAATGAACAAAAATAAAGAATATGAAAGTGAAAGATGGAAAGAGATCAAGGGGGAGATTGTTAGATTGATCTCTAACCTAACTGGACCCAACGACCCAGTTGGGCCTTTGATTTGCGCCCTGATCGGGGACGCCCAGCCCACCATGGCTGGAGGGCTCCTGTCACCCTATGCTATATAAAGAGGTGGGGGCCGACGGCTCTATTCACGAGGTTGACCTGAGCCGACCTCCCCACCGACACTCAAACCCTAATCCGATCAAGAGGGGCGCAGCCAGTGATGGGAAGCCACCAGCCGCGCCGCGCCGCTACGTCGACGGCAACTACACCGACATCTTCCCCGACCATCGTTGCCCGTGCGCAGACTGCATCGACGAATCTGATGGAGGCCACTAGATCTTCCACCCCTGCGATCTCAGGTTCGAACCCCTATCTCTCTACCTCTCTGTCTCCACCTCTCTGTCTCCGTCTCTCTGTCTAGATGTACTAGGGCTTGTTAGGATCTACTGCTTAACCTTTTATACCGAATAGGACATGTCTATGGCTAGATCTATGATCCCTATGATCCTACAGTTACAACAGCATAATCACCGTATCGGCAAGGGCACGGCGATAGCTCTCTCACGGGCATGACTCACTTGCCGTGCGCCCGTGCCCATTGCCCGCGTGACCCAGCATAGGAGCCCACGCCAAATACCTGTACGGGCCAGCCTCGGATCCCGCGTACGAGACCGCTGAAAGGTCCTAATGGCTAGAGGGGGGTGAATAGTCTAATAAAAATTCTACAACAACACTTAACAAAAGGATTAGACAATTATGAGACGAAGCGAGTTATGCGCTAGCCTACCAAAATTCAAGCCACCTACCACAATTCTAGTTTAGATAAAGTATATCCACACAATAGCTATATCACTACACTAAGTTAGTGTGCGCTCAAAAACTAACTAAAGAGCCACACTAACCAAACTAACAAGCTCTCATAACTAGTTACACTAAAGAGCTTGACAACTAGTTTGCGGTAATGTAATGAGTAGGCAAGAAGGTTATACCGCCGTGTAGATGTATGAACAAATCAATCACAAGTGTGGATAACAATGAAGACCAATCACCTCGGAATCAATGATGAACACAATGATTTTTTACCGAGGTTCACTTGCTTGCCGGCAAGCTAGTCCTCGTTGTGGCGATTCACTCACTTGGAGGTTCACGCGCTAATTGGCTTAACACGCCAAACCCTCAATAGGGTGCCGCACAACCAACACAAGATGAGGATCACACAAGCCACGAGCAATCCATTAGAGTACCTTTTGGCGCTCCGCCGGGGAAAGGTCAAGAACCCCTCACAATCACCACGATCGGAGCCGGAGACAATCACCACCCTCCGCTCGACGATCCTCGCTGCTCCAAGCCATCTAGGTGGCGGCAACCACCAAGAGTAACAAGCGAGTCCCACAGCGAAACACGAACACCAAGTGCCTCTAGATGCAAACACTCAAGCAATGTACTTGGATCACTCCCAATCTCACTATGATGATGAATCAATGATGAAGATGGGTGGGAGGGCTTTGGCTAAGCTCACAAGGTTGCTATGTCAATGAAAATGGCCAAGAGAGTGAGCTTGAGCCGGCCATGGGGCTTAAATAGAAGCCCCCACGAAATAGAGCCGTTGTACCCCTTCACTGGACACAACGCGGGGTGACCGAACGCTCCGGTCCGATCGACCGAACGCTGGCCCTCAGCGTCCGGTCACGTGATTCACGCCACGTGTCCCCTACTTCAAATGTTGTTCGTCAGATTTCAACGGTCGTCTGCTGACCGGACGCGTCAGTTAGAGAGTGACCGGACGTTGGACTTCAGCGTCCGGTCGTTTCCAATAAGGTTCCAAACATGATTTTTTCCGACCGGACGCGTCCTTCCAGTCACACAACGTCTTCTCTGTACGCCCTACGTCAGCGTACGTCAGCACTGACCGGACGCACCCCGCCAGCGTCCGGTTGCTGAGCGACCCAGCGTCCGGTCATGAGACCGAAACGCACGCCCTCTGCTGCCACTGACCGGACACGCCGGTCCAACCGAGACCAGCGTCCGGTCACTTACAGTGACCTCCGTCTTTTCTGTCTAGGGCGCCGGTGGCACCGTCGGACTGTCCGCACTCTACGGGTGGACACTCCGCCGGTAGAGTTTCTTACCCTTGCACCCAAACTTCACCACCCTTGATCAAATGTGCCAACCACCAAGTATATCACCTTGTGCACATGTGTTAGCATATTTTCTCAAACGTTTTCAAAGGTGTTAGCACTCCACTAGATCCTAAATGCATATGCAATGAGTTAGAGCATCTAGTGGCACTTTGATAACCGCATTCCGATACGAGTTTCACCCCTCTTAATAGTACGGCTATCAATCCTAAATGTGATCACACTCTCTAAGTGTCTTAATCAACAAAACAAAATAGCTCTTACAAATTATACATTTGCCTTGAGCTTTTTGTTTTTCTCTTTCTTCTTTCTAAGTAGAAGCACTTGATCATCACCATGCCATCATCTTTATCATGCTATGATCTCCATTTGCTTCACCACTTGGAGTGTGCTACCTATCTCATGATCACTTGATAAACTAGGTTAGCACTTAGGGTTTCATCAATTTACCAAAACCAAACTAGAGCTTTCACCCGCTCCTCCGCCGTTCGAGCCCGACCTTGCACCCATCTCTCGGCCTCGCGGGGCTGGAACCACGAGCCCACTTACCGGGAGGAATTGGTCTCCCATCTTTCTACACCTCTCGCGGTCTCACCTCTAAACCAAGGCTCAGAGGCGGGTTCATCAGATCCGGTGGCGGCGCCCGCGATTCTTCACCGTCGCCGCCTCTACATCGCCACCTCCGTCTCCGCTCTTTCCATTCTCAACTATGGATGGTAATTACTTTCCGATCTCGTCCAGATTAATTGAATCTGAGTTTCCAAATGTGGCATTTTGTGCAATAATGTGTAATCCGTAGGCCGTAGCCACATCTACATTACCCTGCTCGCCTTTTTGACGGGACTACGGCCTTATTATTATCTATTCTCGTTGATCTGCTTGTATATTGCTACAAGTAAAGTTATTAATACATAAATTATTTGCTAAACTGACAGGTTTTTTTTAGCAACGTTAAACTGACAGAGGTGATTTTCATTTAATTGGATGGGATGTCATATAGAATCAGTATAGGTTGGGCCAGGCCGTCATCCTAGGCCGTTCCAGCAGAGAGGGACAGCATCAACATATTGTTCTGTTCGACAAATTAATCGTGCCATAAGCTTTACTTTGCTCTCTTTTTGCGTATTATGTGAGCACATTGTGTGCGCATTTGAACTCAAATTCAAGCTGCGAATTAAAGTTTTGAAGATAACTTAAATTTAACATACAACTCCACTTATGTCCATTATTTATGCTTGGCCTATTTCCGTTTGTGCAGAAGTAGACATCAAGTGTACACATGTGATTTCGGTAGGCAACCAATGGGCCTGGGCCTTGCCCGTTGTACATGCAATCGATGGAATCCTAATCCTCGGGCATGTTCAGAGGCTAATTCCAATTCTATGCTTGGATGTGTCTCAAGCAAAGGAGTGCATATATACAGTTTAAAGAAAAAGCATAGAAAATGGACCCCACTGGTTGGTTCCTCCCCCCACACACACACACACACACACACAAAACATTCCTCCATCTTTCACGCAAAAGAAAAAAAAATCATAGTTAGCTTACTGTTTTGAATGCAGGAGATTGCACATCGTCCCACTTGTGAAGGGACATCTCTGGGGTGGCACAGTGGAGGTCGGGTCCTTGCTACTGCATCAAGTGGCTCGGGAGGTAAACCAGGGGCCTTATCCATCTTGTCATATGATGGAAACAATGGTTTTAGGGCCAGGACTGCACTCCAGGGATGTGTTTTTTGGTGTGTATGCAGTCCATAATTGCTTGCTATAAAATATTAACATGTGAAAAGAATTATGAAACAAAATTCTGATTTCATGTAATTATAGGCCTTCAAGTAAAATGGAAACTGATCAGTTGATATCTATGGCTGCTATTTATTTTGATTAGTTCGTCTTTTCAGTATCAGGGTAGGCCCAAATAATCTTTTCTAATTTTTATTTTATTTATTAGTGCCCTGAAGGAGAGTCCATAAGTTCATTGTGTTGGGCAAGGAAAGGCAGCTTCCTTATTCTGGCCTTACATCCGTTATCAACTATCTGTTTCCTTCGAGTCACTAATGATAATCCAGAAAATTTGGAGAATTTGGGACTTGTCAAATACAGTGATCATTTTGACTCTGTTAACTACCGCCCAGATATGGATATAACCAGTGTCTCCACCTAATGCCAGCATCTTAGTTTTATCCTCCTATAAACAACAAAATTGAGATGGCGAATTTGCTACATAAAACGATATAGAGAGAAATAAGAGAATAACAGCGACTAACCATAGGGTTAAAGTCAATGCATTTGACATCACCATAATTAACATCATGCCCTCTACAACCTTTCAATGTTACCTCAATTTCACGTCCAACACGTTTCTTCAAATGATAGCAAAGAGTGTCCCTACCTCCGGTTGCAACATACTTTCCAGAGCTGAAAGTTCATTCCGGATTTTAAAAACAATGTAAACACACACCTCTGAATCAAAAAGTATGATTAATTGAAATTGAAGGAAATGAGTACTAACTGTGAAATAGCTATCGACATATACTCTGAATCGTATTTGAACCGCGACCCCCTTCTTTTAGCATGCTCATTGTCAGGCGACGTAGCAACCTTAGTCAGACTGCAATGCGTTTCAAACAATCAGTCCCAGGATAACTTAAGTCACAAAATAAATTGACAGAGATGAATCAGTACTAGTTTAAATTGTTAACACCCATATTTATTCTCCAATACGTCCATTTGTCCCGCCTGAGGATAAAAAAATCAGTTTCCTCACAAAAACAAAAGGAAAATTACTAATGAAACAGTACTCACTCTATAGTAAATAACCCATGATCACCATCATCATAGACCATTCCGCGAATGCCCATCGGAATATTGCTGCAAATAACATGATAGGACAAAAAAAACATGATTGGTCTAATGCAACAAAGAACGACTGCAACACCCAAAGGAGCCCATCAAAACATCCTAAATGACTCCCAGCAACACACATTTGTCCGGAATGATCCTGTATTGCATTGCAATATGTTAATTACTCTTCTGCAACAACAAAAGTTTGCCACACAAAAAACCATCTCGAATCAAGTCCAGCTCAACATTCACGAAATGCAAATGAAACATATGCATACTACATTGCAACAAGCAGAAAAAAAATAGTCCATGCAACAGGAAGAACACCGTCTTGCAACATTGGAAATGAACTGCTACGACATGCCCTTGAGATGTCTCGCCTCTGCAACTAATTGGAAAGGTGTGGAGGTGGAAGCCGAGATGCCTCTCCTCTGCAGCCATAGAGGATAGGAGGTAGCAGGTAGGAGGTAGCACAAGGAATGGACGTGGGTATCTGGTGAAGTATGGCCATGTGGACGTGGGTCTATTTCTATTGCCACCGAAGAGCTGGTTATTTAGCTATTACGTGGGTCTGTTTCTTCTGCCACCGGACACGTGGAGTAATTAGATAAGGTGGACACAATTGTACTACATCGGACGTCAATATGCTATCATTTCCTTAACAAATATAATAATTTCTCAGTATAACACACTTACATGAAATTGGAGATCTCCCAGGTAACCTGATCTACCCCTGAATGTTGAAATACGTGCACATGGCAAATTATAAAGTCCGATACTGCACTCAAAAATATATTTTCAATCAAGTTACATCTACACTACTTACCACAAGTTTATCATAACTGTACGCAAACAAATGACCACGACCAAGATCTGATGCCAGCATAATCGGAGACCTTCCATCAAAATGATCACTGTATTTGACAAGTCCCAAATTCTCCAAATTTTCTGGATCATCATTAGTGACTCGAAGGAAACAGATAGTTGATGACAGATGTAAGCTCAGAATAAGGAAGTTGCCTTTCCTTGCCCAACACAATGAACTTATGGACTCTCCTTCAGGGCACTAATAAATAAAATAAAAATTAGAAAAGATTATTTGGGCCTACCCTGATACTGAAAAGACGAACTAATCAAAATAAATAGCAGCCATAGATATCAACTGATCAGTTTCCATTTTACTTGAAGGCCTATAATTACATAAAATCATAATTTTGTTTCATAATTCTTTTCACATGTTAATATTTTATAGCAAGCAATTATGGACTGCATACACACCAAAAAACACATACCTGGAGTGCAGTCCTGGCCCTAAAACCATTGTTTCCATCATATGACAAGATGGATAAGGCCCCTGGTTTACCTCCCGAGCCACTTGATGCAGTAGCAAGGACCCGACCTCCACTGTGCCACCCCAGAGATGTCCCTTCACAAGTGGGACGATGTGCAATCTCCTGCATTCAAAACAGTAAGCTAACTATGATTTTTTTTCTTTTGCGTGAAAGATGGAGGAATGTTTTGTGTGTGTGTGTGTGTGTGTGGGGGGGGAACCAACCAGTGGGGTCCATTTTCTATGCTTTTTCTTTAAACTGTATATATGCACTCCTTTGCTTGAGACACATCCAAGCATAGAATTGGAATTAGCCTCTGAACATGCCTGAGGATTAGGATTCCATCGTATTGCATGTACAACCGGGCAAGGCCCATCTTGGTTGCCTACCGAAATCACATGTGTACACTTGATGTCTACTTCTGCACAAACGGAAATAGGCCAAGCATAAATAATGGACATAAGTGGAGTTGTATGTTAAATTTAAGTTATCTTCAAAACTTTAATTCGCAGCTTGAATTTGAGTTCAAATGCGCACACAATGTGCTCACATAATACGCAAAACAGAGCAAAGTAAAGCTTATGGCACGATTAAGCTGGAACAGAACAATATGTTGATGCTGTCCCTCTCTGCTGGAACGGCCTAGGATGACGGCCTGGCCCAACCTATACTGATTCTATATGACATCCCATCCAATTAAATGAAAATCACCTCTGTCAGTTTAACGTTGCTCCAAAAAAAAAAACCTGTCAGTTTAGCAAATAATTTATGTACTAATAACTTTACTTGTAGCGATATACAAGCAGATCAACGAGAATAGATAATAATAAGGCCGTAGTCCCGTCAAAAAGGCGAGCAGGGTAATGTAGATGTGGCTACGGCCTACGGATTACACATTATTGCACAAAATGCCACATTTGGAAACTTAGATTCAATTAATCTGGACGAGATCGGAAAGTAATTACCATCCATAGCTGAGAACGGAAAGTAATTAAATGTGCAGCAGCATGCGCAAGTAGGAAGGCCTCACCATCCTTTGGGCTCACATTGGTTATGCGGCCAATCTTTGCACGATTATTGCGACGCTGTTGCCAATACTTGCCATCAGCATGCCATGTCCAATATTCAGGAAATTCTACATATGTAAATTGCCTTGCTTCTGGAATGGTTCTGTTAACCTCAAACCAAGCGGTTAATTTGGTCACTGTGTTGCGGGGATTACGAACTACCACTTCAAGATTATCATCTTCACCATATATGATGCTGTTCTCAAGTGGAAGGTGGACATGCAGTCGCTCAATAGATGGATCTGTGCGATGAATGTCGAACTGGAGAAGTCGCCAAGCTGCATCATTGGGTGTTATGCATCTGCAGTCCAAATATTGTTTTATTTCATTCGCTGCAGCAGCATTGTGATTTTCCTTGTTTTGGATGGCGACCTTTGCATGGTCAGGACCCTTATTTGTGTACTTGAATAAGTATTTCTCCATTCCATCACGATTAACACTTTCAACGTTTATGTGTGCATCATATTTGACACATAGGTCAACATTATGAGGTACCACGAATCGATTGTCGACGTGGGCACCATTCTTTTGAACTGTGATATTATTGTTTGGTCGTGCATAGATAACATGACCATTTGATGACACAGTTGTTGTGCTTGCAAAATCTTTAGGATAGAACTTGCTGCATCTACCATCAACTATGCAAGCAGATGCCGGACAGATAGCGCCGCACGGACCATGTATCATGAACCTTGAAACAGCATCATAACCGACCTCATCAAGCAATGGATCAGGTAGTTGTGCTGATATGCAAGAGTCAATTTTTTCGGCAGTACGGGGGCCATCCGTTTTAAACCATATGATGATGTGGACATGTGGCAAACCCCTCTTTTGGAACTCAATTGTGTAGACAACTGCCGAAGAAAATGACAACGGCAAATAATGAAGGGATGTGTTGGATAATTTAAAGCAGGGCCAAAAAGTCATACATGAACATTGTTGTCATACCTCCATGTATGGGGCCAAAAAATGAATGCTTTGTTATGTCATCCATGAGTAGGTTAAGTTTCATCTGGAATACACGGTCGACAATGTCAGGTCGATCAGATGGGTGTTGGCCTGTTGTAGGTGATAGAGCTTGTGCTATTTCTGGCCAGGAAGCATTGCATGTGAAAGTGATGAAAAGGTCCGGGCATCCAAACCGACGACAAAGAGCTACACAATCCTGGTAATTTTGGTAGTACCATCGTGGTCCTCCAACAAAAGAACCTGGCAAATAAACTCGTTGCCCTGTAGCCGAAGCTTCTGTAACACCAGCACTAACTGTATGCAGTAAAGATTTATAACTGGCTGTTCTATATTTGGCCTGGAATGAGTTGTTTCTGTAGTGGCTTAGTCGGCCATCCTCAACACAGCAATATGCGTCAACAATATATGCTTGGGTGAGCCTTTTGCCACGTAAAGGGGTATTGAATTCACCGACTCTATCATGCTATCTATATGTATAAAATTCTAACATAGTGATATTTTTCCGTTTAATTTCTGTTGACCGGCGACACTGACGATACCCCAACTTTTCATGGAAACCATCCTCACCATAGGGAAATAATATTGGGTACTGCATTGCCATGAACTTACAGTGTGTTTCTTTGATTTTCTGCAGGTTAGATGCATGGTCCTGGACAACCAAGTCTCGGCCTTCATCAGATAATCCGAGGTCACCAATGACCAGGCCAACAACCTCAGCTGCAACAGGAGCACTATAACATTACCATGTTGCTTTGGAGAACTGAATAGCTGAACAGAGAAGTGATCATCAGATTGATTGGATAGCCTATCTCGAGCAATTCTGAAAACTTTGACAACTGGGTTGTGAGAGTCAAACATGGTGACCAAAGAAGCAACAATGGCCTCATTTGGTTGGAAAGTACCATTTTCGTATGAAGAAACAGCCATTCTGTTCCTCACTTCATTTTCAGTGTCAAAGATATAGAGCTGACAATACCCTGGTCTTCTACCATTTGATGGCATTAGTGGTCCTATTCGATGGCATAGCTGGCCACTTATCTTGAAGACATAAAGTCCTCGGCCATCGTTAATAGAATCTATAACATTGACACCCATAGATGTCATAGCAAACATAGAATTGTAGCATCTAATGCCGTCAAAGAAGTGGTTGGACAATCTAGCATCCCACGAAGTCAGAAGGCTAATCAAGGGCTCCGGCGGTGGCTTGTATGGATCAAGAACAATGCTGCCACCTCTACAACACTTGTTGTAAATTGGCATATCTTGAGTACCACAGCCACGGACATGTTCCTCATTCCAAAACAGAGCGCCACAATGCGGGCACACATTGTTTGGCTCTCCCAAATGGAGAGCAGAGGAAATAGTGCCTATAATATGTAGACGAAACAAAGAAATAAATCAATAAGTAAGATCAGCCTTCGCAAATGAAGAGCAGGGGAAACACTGATTGTAATTTGTAGAAGAAGCAAAGAAAATAAATTATTAATTAAAATGAGGTAACCAAAGGGTAGACAGTTAGCTGTTTGTGTGGTGCAGCAGGAGCAATGGTTATAAAGAACTGCGACATCAATCTCATTCACTATGGACATTGGTTTGAAGGCATATGGTAACATGGCTACGTACGAATAACTGCAGCACCATATATACTAATGGATCTAACAGTAGAATGGATTGAGCAATGCATTTGGTGTGTTAACATGTAGCAGCGAATTTAGCCTTTCTCGAAGGCATAAGAGGTGTCATTTAGACATGCAACATGAGTACAGCGTGTACGAAAATGTTTTCAGAGAGGAGGCTCACGTTTGTGTGGACCGAAGCTTCCAATAGTGGGATTCGCCGTGGCATTGGTTTGGGTAAATGAAACCCGACGACGGGCAGATCTTGAGGAGGAAGATGCTGAAACAATACATTGTTTTTAGGATGAAATTTGGGGGACAGAGATCTGGACATCAGGTTTGTAACCAAGCAGTTCGATGTAGGTAAATATGATTGCACTTACCATCATCGCAGAGGATGACGTCTGCCCTTCGTTTCCGTATCATTGTAGAAGTAACAGATGCCTGAGGCGGTGGAGATGCTGTCAAAAAGTATAATAATCCATCAGTGTAATCCGAGGACTGTAGAAGGCAGAAAATGTGAGTCATTGGACAGAGATCTGGAAAGCAGGAATGTAAGCAAGCAGTTTGATGTAGGTAAATATGGTTGCACTGACCATCATCGTGGAGGATGACGTCCGTTATACGTCTGCGAATCGTTGTAGAAGTAACAGATGGCTCAGGTGGTTGGGACACTGCCCGAAAAGTGTAAGAATGTATCAGCGTAATCGGACAACTGTATGAAGCAGTGGATGTAGGAATGTTTCAGAGAGGTAAAAATGAATGCTTTGCAAAAGGAAATGTGAATACCCTGAGGAGAGGTGGCATTTATGGAGGCTGGAGCATCGCCAGGAAGCAGCGTAGACCGACGCTTAGTGCTTCACGATGCGGTATTTCTGAACAGGTCCTACACCTGCGAATCGTTGTAGAAGCAACAGATGGCTCAGGTGGTTGGGAGGCTGCCAAAAAATATAAGAATGTATCAGTGTAATTTGACAACTGTATGAAGCAGTGGACATAGGCATGTTTCACAGGAGAAAAAATGAATGCTTGGGAAAAGAAATGCGAGTACTCTGAGGAGAGGTGGCATTCGTAGAGGCTGGAGCTTCGTCAGGCAGCGTAGACCGACGCCTCAGTGCTTCATGATGCGGTATTTCTGATCGTGATATTCTTTGTCCATGGGCGGAGAAATAGTTCGTTGCCTGCGTTGTCATCGTTGGCAACCGAAGCTGCGCCGGGTATGCTGAAGCAGCAAGGCAAAAGTGGCCAACTAAGATAGGGTGCAGATGTCATACGCGGCAATAAACCTGATGCAAATAAGATTAAAAGCAGTAGCATAAGGCAACAGGAGACAGGCCGACAAATGGAACTTGCAGCTTACAGGTGCGAATTGGTATGCACATCTGAATGAGGGAAACTAAGAGTGCACATCTGAATTCTGAATTATCGCGTATGTAGCATTTGGAGAAATTCGGGAGAATAAAAAAGGAAAAGGGAGGAGTGCACCTGTTGGCAAGGGTTGTGGACGAAGGCCGGGCTGTAGCTGCCGTGGAAGGGGGCCGTCGTCACGGGAGAGCAGCTGCGCGACGGGGGTTCCTGTGGAGGCTGAAGACGGACGCCGTTGGCCGAGCTGGCGTGGAAGGGACAGGGCCGGACCAGCGTGCCTTAGCTGGCCGCGCGATGGGATAGCGGCGCGACCTAGAGAGGCGGAGCTGGACCGGTGGCCGCGAGGCGGCGTGAGATGCGGTGGTCCAGGGCCGCGGCGCGGCACGATATGCGGTGACGGGTAGCGCCGTCGCGGCGGCGCGAGACGCGGTGGCCAAAGGGGCGGCGGCAGCGGCGGCGGCTGTTGCGGTAATGGTGGAGGCCTCGGTGCCGTCGCCGTTTTCCTTTTTTTTTTTTGGACGGGCTGGGTGGAGGAGGCAGTCGGAGGGGTCGGGCGGATACGGACGCTGGAAAGGACGTGGCGAGCATCTGATGGCTGTGCGTGAATGGACGGTCAGAAACGGTGGACTGTGGATGAACAGGCAAACAAGCGGGGGAGACGGGTGGGTACTGTGTAACTACAGCGTAGGTCAGGAGAAAAAAAAAGTCTGTTCGGTTGTCTAGTTCGTATCGTTGCTGGTTTGTTTATGTGAGAGAGAAGTACTGCTGGCTGATTCAGATAAACAGTGTTTTTGTGAGGGGCTGGCCAGCCCAGCCAGCCCCAGCCGATCACGCATAAAGTGCTTTATATCTAGATAGATAGATATGTAAAAAAATGATCTAAATTATTATACATGTGTAATTTTGTAGATTAACTATACATGCATGTGTGGACGATAAATTTAGTATATTTTTAGGTTTGAGCCATCAAAAACATTGTTTTTTTAAGGACTCTCATATGAATAACGATAGCAACGCACTTAAAACTATATTAAAATATCAATGATAACAAATATGTAAGTTGTTACTTTGCAAAAATTTATGCATTTTGGTTGAAACATTATGCATATCTATGTTGATGGTATAATTGTTAGCACTTTATTTCTTTATAAAGAATTTATACTACACGTATAATTCTTTGATAGAGAAAATTGAATGTTTTTTAGTGGCAGAGGATATCAGTGTAGACCAAAGGTAGCAATTACCTTCATGGTTTTAAAGTTTTCTAGAGTAAATAGTTATTAAGCTTAAATATTAATGTTCTCTTGAGGTTAGCACTATTAGCCCCTACTAGATTTCACTTCAAGCTTCCTTTGTTGATATTCTAGGACATAAGATCCTTATATTTACTCATAGAATTCTGAATAAAAGGTACAATATGCACAATGGTTTTAATTTAACATGCACATGTCGATCAAATTTTGTATAACAACTTATAAAATCAAAATATGTCCTCCGTATATGCTTGGTTCATAATTGACTTCATTTCTTCTCAAAGGTAGAAGGAAGGACAGAAGGACAATGAAGATTATACTGCCAAATTTAGCAAGTGTTCTGCTGACATGCATATCCATTTTGATATGTGTTTTTAAGTCCAAAGTTGCCAAAGGTGTGTATTCGATGACAAGTATCTACATATATGACATATTCTCTAATATATAATCGTTATTTTATTGAATAATTCAATGGAATATATTCCCCTCATGACAGAGAAATTTTCTTGAAATTTATGAAATAGGGAATAAACAAAAAAGACAAAAGCACAAGACCTTAGTCTTTGGGGAGGTGAATGCTGCTGAAGGCTTTGAATTTCCTGTTCTTAGTTTGAAAGATGTCATAGCTATGACAAATAACTTCCACAAATCATTTATGATAGGACAAGGAGGTTTTGGCAAAGTTTACAAGGTATTTATGCCACTAATTATTAGGATGATGTCAAGAATTATCATCTAATATTTTCCTGTTTATGCCTTTTCTCAATTGCAGTTATATGAGATTAATATTCCTATCTATTTTTCAATTTAATTGTTAGGCAAAGTTAGATGGCCGAGAAATTGCCATCAAAAGGCTTCATAGGGGTTCCGAGCAAGGGATAGTGGAATTCAAAAATGAAGTTCTTCTAATTTCCAAGCTACAACACAGAAATTTGGTTAGATTTCTCGGTTGCTGCATAGAGAGAGACGAAAAGTTGTTGATTTTTGAGTACATGCCTAACAACAGTTTAGATGCTCACATTTTCAGTATGCTCTAATAGCTCATGAACCATATAAACTAGTTAGTAAGAAATGGTTTTTCTTTGTAGGCGGTACAAGAAAAGCAATGCTAGATTGGCCAACACGTTTTAACATAATCAAAGGGGTTGCCAGAGGACTTCTATACCTTCATCAAGATTCTAGACTAAAGGTAATTCATAGAGATCTCAAAGCAAGCAATGTTTTGTTGGATGAAGAAATGAGACCCAAAATAGCGGACTTTGGCATGGCAAGGACGTTCGGTGACAACCAACATAATGAAAATACAAAGCGGGTCTAAAAGCCCTAGTTTGGTTTTGGATAATTGATAAAACTTAGCACTAACCTTTGTCATGAGCTATGATATGAGCTAGGTTGGTGCAAGCCAAGTGTTTGAGCAAGATGAGGTCTATGGAGTTGAAGATGGACATGAGATGATGATAATCAAGTGCTCAACTTAGAAAAGAAGAAAGAGAAAAATAAAAACCGAGAAGATCAAGGCAAAGCTATAAGATAGGTTTTTATTTTGCACTCAAAACACCATAGAGGGTGTGAGTGACTTAGGATCGATAGCCGTACTATAAAGAGGGAAAATCTTTGGCTAAACAGTTTATCGAGTGCCGCTAGGTGACATGAATTTTGCATATGCATTTAGGAATCTAGTGTGCTAACTTTGACCCTTGTAAAATGCTTTGAAAAATACTAACACACGTGCACACAAGTTCTACACTTTGTGGTTAGCAAGTTGGAAGAAGGGTGAACTTCCTTACCACACTTGAAACAAGCAAATGGCTTGTTCCCCTATCCCTAACGAGGCGGAACCTGCTGTCTCTGAGGCTGTTGCACTTGCTGAGTAGGTGCACTGTACTGAGTGAGAGGTGCCTGATGAGTCTACTGAGTCTGGCGAGACGGTTGTCCACCCAGAGAGTGATAGGACATCCTCCTCACAACCTGTACCTTCTACGACTGTGGGTAACTAGAAGACCCAGTGATCACCCTCTTGCACTTCCACTCAGCCTGAGAGTCACGATAAAGTCCCTCCATAGCAATGACAGCATTCATCAAAGCACCAAAGGTCTGATAGCCCCTGTATACAGCTTCTCTTGCAAGATGCAAGAGAGACCACGATTGAAACGGTCCATCTTATTCTCATCAGTATCCACATGAGTCCCAGCATACTGTGCAAGATTGTTGAACTTGTTCACATACTCCATCACAGTCATGTTTCCTTGCTTCAACTCTAGAAACTCAGACAGCTTCCTGTTCAGCAAACCAGCAGGAATGTAGTACTGACGGAAAGCAGTGGTAAACTCCCGTCAAGTCACATGGTGGTCCATAGGCTGTAAGGCATTGAAAGTGTCCCACCAAGCACTGGCAGATCCTAGAAGCTATTGTGCAGCAAAGCGCACCTTCTGCTCGTCAGTCACATTGAGCAGCTGAAACTTCTGCTCCAAAATACGAAGCCAATGCTCCACGTCTAGAGGCTCAGCAGTCGGCGTGAACGTGGGCGGGTGTGTCCCCAAAAAGTCCTGATAGGAATAGGGTCTCTTGGGACCGCGAGCACCACCCACATTCCCGCCATTGCCACCAGGGCCTCCACGAGCGAAGACACCAATAGCCTGTGCCAGCATCTTCAGGGCATGGGTTGACTCGCAACGAGCAGCCAACATCTCAGACATCATCTCGGCATAGGTCATCAGAGGTGGTGGTAGTGGCGGAGGAGGAGGACCAAGGAATGGGGCCTCGTGGCTCTCCTCGTTGGCATTGCCATGATCATCGCCACGACCATTTTCGCCCTAGTCTTCACCAAGACCACGGCCCGTCCCAGCACTGGTGCTCCCACGACCAGACCTTAGGTTCATCTATAAACAGATAGGAACCCACCATTAGAGACAAAACCTCCATATTTAGAAACAAAAGGTTAAAGAGATGATAAGGCGTAATAAATGGTTACTAGCGAGACTTTT